ACAACCCCACAGTGTTTAGACACACACACACACAACCCCACAGTGACAGCATTTAATCATGGCCATTCGAGGGTTGTTTCCCGAAATGATAACAGGCTGGATGTTACACGTTGATGGCTAGTGGAGGGACCAAGAAATCAAAGCCTCAAAAAAGAAATCATGGGTGCACATGCTTTGTATTAATATTTTATTAGTGTCCCGGGTTACGATGTGCATCAGATTATTTTTATTTTTATTTAAAAAAAGTATTAATGTATTGTTGACTTGTTTTTAAATATTGGTGTAATAATATAATAAATGATATTTTTATTTTTAATTATTAAAATAATAATTAAATTTATGATTAATACCATGAGATAATAATAATACTATATAAAACAAATCAAAATAAATTATAAAAAAAATATTAAAATAAAAAAATAAAAAAACTATTCAAGTCAATTTTGTTTAACTTCTTAAACTTGTAATCTGGATCATAAAATCATGATAACACCACAGAAAAAAATTATAAATCTCAATTTATAGCCAACCCAATTTGAAAGATAAAACTGAAAAAAATCAATTAAAAAAGAATAGATAAACAATTCAAGTCAACTCAAATTAACCTATTAAACTCGTCACTTCAATCATGAGACTAGGATAACTTTATAAAAAACAATTTGAAAACATTAAGAAGCTCGATTTCTAAATAATTTAATATTGCAAGATAAAATTAATAAATAAATAAAACATTGAGTTGTTGGAGGGAGCGTAAATGGAAAAAAAATATTTAATTAAAAAATAACAAAAAAATAAATAAATTGAGTCAACCTAACTAACCCGCGATCCGGGTTAGCTCGATTGATATAAACCCATTAAGCAAATTAAAAATGATTACAAAGCCTAATTAAAAAGTATTCAATTAAAAAATAATCCAATAAATAAATAAATTTAACTCGGGTTAATTTATCAAACTCATAATTTAGGTAATGAGATTGTGATAATTCTGTATAAACCAAATAGAAAATATTTATGAAATCTAACTTCTAATCAATTTTATATTGAATGATAAAATAAAAATAAAAAATAAATTATAAAAAAATAAAATAGAAAATAAAACGAGTCCACTTAGACTAAATTGTTAAATCAGTAACTTAAATTATAATATTAGGATAAATTCATAAAAATAAAATTTAGAAAAATTATAAAATATAATTTTTAAAATAACTTAATATTAAATGATAAAATTAAAAAAAAACTAAATAAAAGCATTAGATTATTAAAAAATTAAAATGAAAAATCAAATAAAAAATATAAAGCATAAAATATTATTCTAATCAATAATATTTTATAGATTATGGTTTACCAACACCTTTTAGTTTTTTTTTTTTGGGCAATTGTTAATGTTAATAGTTGTTAATTTTGACCCACAGGCCAGAAATTCAACATATTAGGTTTTTCTGCTCTTTTTTTTTTTTTTTTTAGCAGGTACGAAGATACGAACACAGGAAGAGATACATAAAGTACAAAAGAGGTACTGATCACTGATGGGCATCGGCCTTAGCACCTTCCTTTTTAACCCAACTCATAAATACACGGTCGCTGGATCTATGATTGTCCCTCGAATAGGCACGAGACACCTGGCAAAAACACGGTCTCTTAAGGAACCTCATAAAGCATCAAAAAGATGCTTTTTGGGATGCTACCTCCGGTTAAAAATCATTGTCCATTAATTTTTATAATTAAAAAGATATTTCTTGGAAAAAAAAATAAAGGGTAATTCATTACAATGACATCACTTCACTGCACCGAGTCAAGAGAGTAGAAGTCAAGGTTTCAATCAAAAACCCAGTAAAAAAACGCTTTTAACGTCTCAACTTTCAATGAAACCATTGCTGTGAAAATTGTGGTCAACTTTCAACTTCATCTGTCGGACTTTCATTTTAATTTTTTCTTTTATGATTGTCATGTGATCTTAGAGGTAATTTAGTATTTTAATGAATGTTTTTTTAATTTTATTTTTTTTAATTTTGTTAATTTATAAAATTTAATACTTAATATTTTGATTGCTATTTATTTTATTTTAGATTATTTTTAAGATTGATTTTTTTATAATTTAATTATTCTTAATTTTTTTTGCTATTTCTTTTACCTTATTTTTTTAAATTGATAATTTTTTTCCATTATTTTTTAATATTTTAATTGAACTCAAGTCTACGATTTAACGAGTTATAAATTATAGAGCTTAACTTAAATTTAAGAGATTTTTCAAGTTCATTTGTTTTTGTTTTTTAAGCTCATATTTTTTTATTTTATCATTCAGCATTTGGTTTAATTGGAATTAGCTTCTATTTTTTTATTTTTTTATTTAGAATTTTTCTATTTTTGAAAATGATTTAAATTACTTGAGTTTTTTTATTTGTTGCTTTTTGTTAAATTTAACTCTCTAAAAAAAGTATTTTAAATTCAATTAATTCAATTTTTTTAAATTTAAGTATGTTGTGCACACTCTATATGTATATATATCTTTTGAGTATTTTTTTATTTTTAATATTTGGTTGATTAAAATTGAATTTTCTTTTTATTTTAGGTTTCATGAGATTATCTCGGATCACAAGTTAAACCATGATTAGCGTAGATCGAGTTAATATATCACAATTTTAATATTTTTTTATAAAAAATATATCATTTAATATATTATCATCTTAATATTTTGAAAATATTACATACAATATCCATCAATGTTTTTATTTCCTAACATCTTTACAAATTTTTTAAGGTTAGAAAAAATTATCCTGAATTACTCTAATAACATATAATGTATTGTGGTGGAGCTAGAAATTTATTTGTCTAAGGAAGGTTAATAAATAAACTTAGATAAAATTTATTCACGCAAGACGGATTAAGGAATTGGATTTGGGGCTCAAAAAATTGGATGTATAAAACAAAATTATAAACACACTCAAAGATCAAGGGTGTTTTTTTTGGTAGCGACAACCCAGTGCCATACTATAAAAAAATATATGTGAAAAAATAAACATGATATTATAATAGTTATATTATAAGTAGGATTAATTAAAAAAAATTAAAAAATAAAAGTTACTGCCACATATAAAATTAACTTTTAAATAAGATTAACTTTTAAAGAAGGTGTCATGACATGTAATTAAAAAGCAACAACAATTATTATGAAGATGAGATCATGAAAAGAGACTTGAAATATGAGACGTTATCAGCCTAAACAATTAATTAAAGCATATGAGAAGTTATCAGCCTAAACAATTAATTAAAGCATTAATCAACTAACTTTACAAGATGGATTGCAAGAAGATGACAACAACAATTAACAATCCAACTCAATTAAATAATTTTATCAAATTTTTAGGATTTTTCAAGCCTAAAACTAGCAAGTAATAATTCATAGATGATAGTTTATAAACGATAATGTTATAGGTAATAGATCAATAAGCAATAAATTTATAGGCCATAATAAAATTTCTTTATAATAAGTAAACTTGTAATTTCAATTCAATAATCTAAAAAATACCAAAAAGATATTTTATTATCTAAAAATTTCAATTCAATTCATGGATGTAATCAGAGTAAAAATCACTTTATGAATATAAATATTTAATTTTCTAAGTTATTAAATTTACTTTATATTTAAATTGTTTTAATTATTTCGTTATTTTTTTAATTGAGTGGATTTAATCGTATTGATACTCATATAATTTTCTAATATAAACTTGAAATTATTTAAGTAAATTTAGATTAAGTTCAAAGTTTAAACTAATTAATTTATAACTTTAATCTTAAATTGCAAAGTTCTTTCCATGCACAAATATAGAAGATTCTTTCCACAAATATGAAAGAATCTACATCAAAAAACACCATGTATGCTAACCCCTCTTAGTTCCGCCTTATATATGTCATGTCTTTTCTTTACAAGGGATAGATATGTCTATTTTCTTTTTTTCATAAGGTCATCAAACCACAAACTTTGCTGCATTAGTTAACAGCAAGCAATAATAATAATAAAAAAAATCATGATAATTAAGATGATTAAAGTAGTACAAACCAAGCTAAAATCTCGTCTACAAATTTCCAAGTTTTGGTCTTCCCTTTCCCCTCAAATCTTTCAAATAACGAATCAATACTCGAAGAAAACAGAGGCCGTTGGTATGATTAGGCACGTTAATGTACCAAGAGAGGTTTCGGCAATATTGCTCCCAAGCATTACTAGACTTCTTCTAAAGTGCTGGTATCACGATCAATAATATCCTTGTCAATGGAACCACAAAAGTGAAGAATGTTGATGCTTTCAAGGCTGCAGCTAGCCCTATAACCACATCGGTCATCGTAGATGAAGTGGACATAGAAGAGAAACGCACTGCTCGCAAACGCAATTCCATACATGGGGAAAACTACAACTGGGCTCATAAATGTTGAAAGTAGGTTTGCAAAACCAAACAGTATAGCCGATGAGGAGCTCCATATAGTAACTTTCAACAGCCCTTTCTTGGGTTATTCTTCGTCGGAAGGCTTTGGATTAAACACTGTTAAGCAGTGGTCTAAGAGAAAATAACACTAGGTGAGAAAAGTTATAAACGCTACCATTGGGATTTCATTGTTGATAAATGCACGGCATATGGTGCCTGTGCTATTGAATGTTAGGTAAGGGTATGTGATGGTATGTGTAAATCTCAAGCTTTCACCATCAGTGTTGCACTTGTTGCTAGCAAAAAGGAATGTTGGGTTCTCACTGTTGCAATGATCTGGCACCATTTTAAAAAAATATTGATTTTTGATCGTGATGGAAGAAAAGGGTCGCTGGAAATGATGCCGGTTATTTGCGTGGTGGCCGGAAGGTATAGCTGTGTTCTTATATGAATGAACGGTTTGTGACAATTCCAAGAAAATACATGGAATAACCATGGAAGAGAGGTTCTAAAAAGTGTATCCAACTAAAAAGTTAAAAAGCCACGGCACATATATCTTTCCAGATCTTTTCATGACAGCAGCAAAGAAAGTAGCAGCTTGATTCCAAGGTGAATATGCCCCAGTCGACTCTTTTTTTCTTTTTCTTTTTTGCTTGGAACTTGTCTTAATCAATAAATTGCAGAAATAAAAATCAATCCAAGTTCAGACCAAGAGAGTATTTGTGGCTTTGTGCCCATCACTATTTGGACTTCAATGAAGTTTGAAGCAGGCAACAATTGGCCCGGTAGGAAGGAGGAGTGTGTAAATACCTTTGCTGAAAATAAGCGAAATTTATTTGAAACCGGGAAATAAATTTATTTAAAATAAGGAGGAGTTTGTAGCGTAATTCGTTAATAAACAGGTAAGTCCTAATTTTCTACCTAGTAGAATTTTAATTTAATTTTTAATGCAATAAAATAAAATAATTGCACTATTCATGTATTTTTATGCATTATAATTGTTTTAATTGAGAAACAAAAAGCAGTTGTTTTAATTTATTAACCCCAACTAAATTCTGATTTCGCAAGATGAAAACCAAACCCTCTTTAAACATCCCTCAAAACTCACCAAATGGGATGTAACGTAAATAGGAAGGAGTACATTTTTTTTTATTTTAAATACCATTATATTGTAAATATGGATAGGATTGCAAAAATTAGGAGTTTGAGGATCAAAATAAAAAAACATGTAAACGCGCATTATTTATCCATAGTGGATTGTGATGGGTGAACAAAGATTCACCTATCTATTTCAGTTTATGTTCTAATAATTCTAGCAAGGCAACTAACATCCAAGTTCCTTTGCAAAGCAGATTAAAAGCATTGTAGCCTCAGTTTTCAACATTTTAATGCTGGATTTACCATAAATAATAGAAAAGCAATCCACATGAGAGTGCCAAGGCGACAAAAATGTAACAATTACAGAATAATCACCTTGGTATAGGGAGATAAGTGACCATAAGATGAGACTCGAAGCTACAGCTCCAGCTCTTAACAAAGAATACAATGCAAAAAATTCAACGCCACTCCACTGGTGTAAGAAGCTGGCTTATATGAAACAAAGGCTACAGAAATATATCGATAGTAGAGATAAAAAGGTTAAATGTAGAGACAGGTGAGCATTAATCAGGAAAATTGAAAGTTCTCACAAAAATTGATAAATTATTTGTTGTTTAAAGGGGGGAAGAAGAAGAAAAAGAAAAAACAGCTCAAAGGTGACCTATGTTATACTAGCAACATTACTAGAAAGGGGTTCTTTCTAATCCAGTGAAGCTGAGGCAGCCTCTTTCAAACATGCCCTCATTATCTTGTCCAGCTTTGAGCAAGCATCCAAGCAAAGGTGCATTGCCTGTTCGTGAAAAGCAAAATCAGTACAGCCAAATTGCATACACCTTAGATTGCATACTGCCATGAATGGGATATGGTTTTTCCTATAGTCTGACAAATGATGTTTGCAGTTTAGATGACGCACCTCATTCAGTTTTGCAGTTGACCATTCCCCTGTAACAGAAAGCTGCGTGACCTCATAACGAGAAGGCATGCAAGTGATCATCAGGCTTCCATCTTGAAAACTTTCCTTTTCCAAAATTGGATCAATGATGAGGTTTCTACCAAGACAAGACTGCCAAACAAAAGAATCTAATTTAACAAACATGAAAATTTGATGGGAAACAAATGTGAACTAAACAAACGAGTTCAGGTCATGAAATCAGCTGGATATATCTCGAAAGAAGTAAAGAAAATGCACAGCATTGTAAAGACATCTGAAAGCTTGATGAGCCATCCTTGCACTAGTATGTTTCTGCTGCGTCACCATCAACTTAGTCACAAACAGCCACAGAATATTTCTACAGAGTCAAAGAGCCAAGCAATACCAGGCTATGGAAAAAATAAATGCATAAAGGCAACAAATATTAGTGAGACCACCTAAGTTTTCTGATCTCCATCTATTCATAAAAGCCGGGTCAAAGCACAATCACCATCAATGAGTAGTTATTAAGCAAAGTGCAAAAATTTAAATGTCTACAAATTTTCATTCCAATAACCCAGGTTCAACAGGACTTACTACAAGATGGCCTTTTAAAAGTGACAATTCTGGAGTGAACAAAGGAACAGGCTAAGATGAACAAATGTCAGAAAAAGACAGTTCAATTAATTCCCATTTCTAGTTCAAAATTTGGGTAAACTACCCATTACAAAGTGTTTTACCCCAAAGACTAAACTACATCAAACACCCAAATAAAGTTTCTACTGATTAAGATATTAAAACACTTCTTACTTCTATCAATTCTCAGCAATAAATATGTGAAAATATTAACTAATGCTCAAACTAGAAAAACCCCACATTTTCAAAACAAACAAACAAACAGAGACAGTAAGCGATTGTAGATTTAACAAAATTTATCACATATTGAACTCAATCAGTAAATATTTTGGGTAATGAAGGAGAAGACATATACACAAGCCTAGGGGTGGAGAGAAAGAAAGAAAGAAACCAAAAATAAAATACTAGAATTGGAGATCACATTTGAATAAAGAATTCAACTCCTAAAGGGTAGATTTAAGGGTCCCAAGCATTCTCATCTTTAAGCATTCAGCAAAACCAGTTGGCAGGTCAAAATATTGGAAGAGAACAATGATCAATAACTACATTGCGCATGATTGTTTGTAAGCTCTGAGATTTGCTGTTCTATGTCCAATGATTAGGGTTGGTTTATCCACATCAAACAATAACCACGCAGACTAATTCAAATAAATACTAGAAGATATTTTACTAATTTGCAATGGATAACTGTGTATATGCATATAAAGTATGAACTTCATGATAGATAACAACTAGAGACAGTGTCAGGAAACCTCAAGTCTATGCATGATGCATACCACAGAAACTCCAGCAACAAGGTCATACATCATAATCCCTGCATCCGCCAAGGCAAGGCTTGCACAAGATATTACAACAGGAAGATCACCTGGAAAAACATAATCTTATTGATGAGTTTAAAGGAAAAAAAAAATTAATAGCCACTAAAATTTTATTGAAAAAACAGGCTGTAGAAACAAGCAAGCAAACTTGAAAGGCATGAAAAAGCTTTACAGACTTTGGAAGGTAAACAGAAGAACAACATTTCCAGTATGAGATTTGCATAGCAAGTCATAAAGGTGGTTGTGCTATTCTGCAAACTAGACATGGCATTCTTTTCCAAAGGAACACCCAGGCTAGGCATAAGTTTTCTTAACCTGTCTTTATTTTCATTCTTCACCCCTTTATTCCCCAAAAACAGACCCAGATTTAGAGGTTCGTATGAAAATGTAACTCACTGCCGCCAGATTCTAACACCAATGCAAACACATCCACAGTTGTCTTGGGAAAAGTTTCCAACATGATTGCACCTTCCAAAGCCTTATGAAGCATGGAAGAGAACTCTTTATTATCTAATCCCTAACAAAAAGGGGCATCATATATCAAAAAAGATAATAGAAGTTTGAAGATGAATATCAAAATTTTTATAGATGCATGCTAACATACCAGTCCACGAGCAGGGGTGGCAAATGTGGTACAGCTAACATTGCAATTAAGCCTGCCCACATCACTGTACACCATTGCTTTCTTACTTTCTCTAGGCCCAAACCTGAAGCAAGAAATGGCAGTACAATGTAAAATTAAGTTTATATTATGAGGGTTGCTGTATTAATTATATCTCATATCACGGTTCCATCATGTCAGTATAACTGAAAAAATGAAGGCAATACTCACACAGAAACGATGACCTTTGTATTTCCAAATTCAGCATATGCAGATCCTGCAGCAGAATTCACCGCACCAGTCCTGAAAACTGCAAACGAAAAACATTTCAGTTCAAGTAAATTAGACAACAATCATGCCTGCATAATCCCAAAACAGATAATTTATGTGTATGGTACATACAAGCAGATAAAAAAGAAAAAAGTTGAAATATGAGCTACATTCTCTCTATTAAGAATCAAAATTTCAACCTCAACATCCTTACAGATCCAAAATAAAATTTTCATTTCAGTGCTGACCAACCACATTCATATTTTAGACGGAGGTCATCCATTTGAAGTAGAAATTGATGGAATTCAGCATCTATGGCAAAACGACTCTACTAATAGAACATGAGAATCACTTTCATCCACGGGTGTGCTCAACCCACCACTGAAAAGTTTGCACCCAACAACAAAAGAGGCAGAGAGAGGCGGGCAGTTAGAAAAAGGCATAGCTAACCGATGTAAATATATCATGCCAAGTAAATTAAACAAGATTTCTAAAAAAAGACACAGTAACCTCAATTTCTCGAAACTTCAAGCCTACAGTAAGAGAATTCAAATTATCTAAAAAAACAAATGAAGAACCAGCAACAAGGAACCAATTCAACATTTTTTGTCTTAGCATAACACCATTACACAATCAAAAAGCAGCATCTTTTTAACGGATGATGGAACATAACGATGGAAGATAATAAAATAAAAAATAATTAACAAAAAGAAGCCAAAAAACGGAAATTTACAAATTTTCACACTCATTGACACCCAAAAGCATATATTAACATTGAAACATCAAAGCTGACAGCCCTTCATAAGCAGAGATAGGGAAAGCATGCCAGCATAAGTTAAAACAATCAAATCAAAACACCCCAGAAGATTAAAAGTAAACCCGCTTAAAAGAAGTGACCATTCAGTGTAATCAAAGAAGATGATTAAAAGCTAATTACTACCTAGAAAATTATATTAAAAAAAATAAACAGTAAAAAGAGAGAGAGAAGGGAAATATATATATACAAGCAGGTCGGCACTGGTGGAAACCACGACCATCGGGACGAAGCCAGTCGACATCAGAGTCAGAGAAGAATGAAGAACGTTGGGTTTTCTTGGTGGGAGTGGGAGTGTAAGTGCCTGGGGCAGCACCACCTGTGGAAGCCATAGTGCTTGCTTTGACCTTATTTTTGCTCTGGTTTTTCCTTGGTATTCTGTTCTCGCCTCGCAGCAGCCAGAGGGAAGCAAACACGAGAGCTTTTTCTTCGTAGGCTGTCCTTTTTCTTACGGCGTCGTTTACATGAATAATGAAGCATGAGATTTTTTTTTTTTTCTTGGAACAAAATCCCGTTCACTTACATTTACCAGCACAATTAAAATAAAGACAGCTAGGATGAAAATCAGCTTATATTATACGATCATCGTTTAAAAATAGGCTTTCAGAGGAGGATTTTATTTATTTATTAGTGGATGTCAAAATTCTCCTGTTTGATATGATATCGGTCGAACAAATCCTCCTTTTTTTTTTTCTTTTCTTTTTTAATAACTAACACATGAATGGGGATGAGGATGTATAGCATGCCTTTACCATAAGAACAACTTGAATCTAATTTAGGTAGATCCATTTGTTACACGATAAGATAACACAATAGTTATTATACCCCTGTTTTGTTGCAGGTCATATATTTTCCTACCAGCAAAAAAAAAAAACTTGGATATTCAAGTTTTTTTTTACATGTTTTCTCCCATTAAAAAAATTTAAATAAAAATTAAAAAGCTTGTATAAGCATCTAATCAACTAAAATAAGAATTGTATGTATAAATAAATGAAAAAATATTAAAAATCATTAAAAATAATATTAAAAAAAGATGTAAATCAAAATATTTTACCTCGCAACTTGGAGCATTTATCTAGTTCTGTTTAATAAATTTGTTTATTAAAATAATTTTTTTAATTAATCAAATGATAATAAAAATAACAATTAAAATTGATGAAATAAAAAAATATATTATACAAGGACGAATATATTAAAAATTAATAAACAACTAAAACAAAAGGAGAATTCATTTTAGCCATTTTCACATTTTATTGTTCACCACTAGTATAATGATTATTTTGATATTCTCATAAAAAAATTTATGTTTTTGGATGAGGGTTATTTTAGTATTTATCATAAAGTGCATTAGTTATTAATGATTTGTTTAGAGTTATTTGTATCTATTTAATATTTTGTGAACAGTAAAATAATCAAAATGCTTTCAAAAATAAAAAGAATAGTAGTCTTAAGTAGGCGTATTGAGATATTTTTTATTTTCTATACATAGTAGAATTATACATGTATCCTTTGATGCAAGACATTTAGTTCATTACAATTAGCAGTATTTGAGTTTTTTAGCTTATAATTTATTGCTAATAGTAAATTTGGTTAAGGATCATAATTCCCTTTTAAAATAATAATTTTTTAATTGAAAAGTTATTAGAGCATGCAGAACAAGCACTAATGTATTGAAACCGTCATCCACTTTACACTTATTTGGTTCTTATTTTTTTTATATTAAGGAA